ATACATACATACATATATATATATATATATATATATGTATGTATATGTATATACAAGTTTCGGAATAGCTTCACATCGCGATCGCGGTTTATTCTAAATATTCTAATTATTCTAAATATTGCGCGCAAACACATCATTCGTTGACTCTTGTTTGTCTCTCTCGATGTGTATACATCGATACATCAGAGTACAGCCGCACCTGAAAAAATGCTTCGAAGGAATAGCACGAGTAAACTTCACGCTCGATTTCGAGATAACAGTTATAAAATCCTCCGAGGGAGAAGAGATTATTCTGCGAGACACGATCGACACAACGGCAGCTCGTGGCCAGGTTGAAAAGTGGTTGCTCCAACTGGAATCCTCTATGAAGAAGAGCGTCAAAGCACAGGTGAGAACAGAAGCAAAGTTGAAAACAAAGTCTTCTTTCGAATTCGCATTTTGTTATAAATAACACAACGGTAACTTGGTAACGGTAAGTTCCGTTGGAGAAGAAATTGGAGAGGGACGAGTAGAGAGATACGTGACAAAGTATAAGATACTTGTGACAGTGGCAACGTGTTTGATTGAAGGTGGTGCTAGCAAAGGATGCGTACTTGAGGCAGATCAGATCTAGATGGGCATTGGAATGGCCCGGTCAGACTATTCTCTGTATAAGTAAGCTTTATTGGACAGCCGACGTGACGGCGGTCTTGTCCAAGATGGATTCTACGATGGAAGATTTGAACAACTATATCGACGGTTGTACGAACGAATTGAACGAAATAGTTAAACTAGTACGTGGTACGCTGTCGATGCAAAATCGTATAACGTTAGGTATGAAAAGATATATATAGATACGTTGCGAGTATTACAAGGTACAACGTACGTGCAAACGAATTTAAAATTTCGTTGCCTTTATGCGCGCGCGCGCGCGCGCGTGCGTTAATTGACACGAGTGATTTCAGAGGCTTTGGTTACGATGGATGTCCATAGCAGAGACGTTGTGGCAGAATTGTACAAAGAACGAGTCGTCGCTGCTACCGATTTCAAGTGGTTGGCTCAATTGAGATACTATTGGATGGTAGGTGCCAACGATGGTAGGTCGAAGAACGTCGAAGAACGTCGAAGAAAGTAGAAGAAAGTAGTGTCGTCGTATTTTACGTATTTAGAGATTACGTACGATAGACTCGGACTTGTCTGTAGGAGGAAGATTTACAGTCAACGATGATAAACACGTGGCTGAGGTACGCGTACGAGTACTTGGGCAACACGTCTAGATTGGTCGTGACACCGTTGACCGACCGATGTTATCGAACGTTGTTCAGCGCGCTGAGCTTGCATCTTGGCGGCGCGCCCGAAGGTCCGGCCGGGACTGGGAAAACCGAAACTACCAAGGATTTGGCCAAGGCTGTGGCTAAGCAGTGCGTTGTGTTCAATTGCTCGGAAGGTCTCGATTACATCGCTCTGGGTAAATTTTTCAAGGTAAATTTTCCATCTGTGTTGCGGTTACGTCGCGTATTCGAGTTTATGCGCGTATGTGCGCGTATGTACGATCGCATCGCACGCGTGTCGTAGGGATTGGCAAGTACCGGCGCCTGGTCTTGCTTCGATGAATTCAATCGGATAGATCTGGAAGTATTGTCGGTAGTGGCGCAACAAATTCTGACGATTCAACGAGCCATCAACGCTGGACTGGCCAAGCTAGATTTCGAAAATACCGAGATCAAATTGGACCCTACTTGCGCTGTTTTCATCACCATGAATCCTGGCTACGCTGGAAGAACCGAACTTCCCGATAATTTGAAAGCCCTGTTTCGTCCGGTAGCAATGATGGTTGGTCGACGAAAAAAATTGCGACTTCCCTTGCCTCGAAGCAAGGAAACCAAATGCTTCTCGCTACCGAACTGAGAATATGGTGCAAAATACTTTTGGACAATTTTCATTCGTTTTTCGTCCATTTTTTAGGTGCCAGATTACGCCCTGATAGCTGAAAATACATTGTACTCGTACGGATTTTACGAGGCACGACCGCTTTCCATAAAGATCGTAACAGCTTACAGGCTGTGCTCGGAACAACTGTCGAGTCAAAATCATTACGATTACGGGATGAGAGCGGTGAAATCTGTTCTGATAGCTGCTGGTAATTTGAAGATAAAATATCCGGAAGAAAATGAGAATATTTTAATACTGCGTAGCATCAAAGACGTGAATTTACCTAAATTTCTCGGCGAGGACTTGCCATTGTTCAACGTATGCGTTTATTCAGTCTCTCTCTCTCTCTCTCTCTCTCTCTCTCTCTCTCTCTCTTCATTTCTTCATCTCTCTTCATTCCTTCAGTTCTTGATTCGTTCGAATTAATTTAGGGTATCATGTCGGATCTGTTTCCTGGCGTCAAACTTCCAGAGCCACCAGACTATAGCGATTTGAATACGTGTATTTACGATGCTTGCTCGGCTTCGAATTTACAATGCAACGCCTGGTTTTTGGAGAAGATACAACAAATGTACGAGATGATGATCGTTCGACACGGATTTATGATTGTTGGCTTTCCATTTGCTGGAAAGACAGCGGCGTATAACGTTCTAGCCAACGCGTTGAAACTTTGCGAACAACGAGTAAGTTGTCCGTTGGTTTGCCAGTTTTAAAACTGGCTGTTATATGGCTGTTATCTGTTCGTTTTCTCTCTTCTCTTCAAGAAGAGAAGAAAACAAAAAAGAGAAAAAAAATATTTCAGAAGCTGATAAACGAGCGTAAGGTAGAAACGTTCGTAATGAATCCTAAAGCTGTTACATTGGGTCAATTGTACGGGCAATTCGATCCGACATCTCGCGAATGGTCCGATGGTGTTTTGGCCATCAGTTATCGCGCGTTCGCCACGTCGAGCAACGACAATCGCAAGTGGTTGATCTTCGACGGACCGATAGACGCGGTATGGATCGAAAGTATGAACACCGTACTGGACGACAACAAGAAACTTTGTTTAACGAGTGGAGAGATTATTCAACTAGCACCCTATACCAATTTGATATTCGAAACGATGGATTTGGAGCATGCTTCGCCCGCCACGGTTTCTCGC